AAATAGAATAAATTAGAATTTCACTGCGGCAGAACGGCAGAGCGACCGACCGAACGGCTGAACGACCGAGCGGCCGAACGACCTGCGACCGACCGAACGGTTGAACGGCAGAGCGGCCAAGCGACCGGCTTGCATTTTGAAATGCTCCCTTAGTTATGAGTTCTAATATTTAACTTTGATAAACACAAACATTATGCTCATCGACAACAACAATATTACACGAGAGAAAAACTTCATGAAGACGATTATAATCGAAAACAATATGTATATTATAAACGAAAAGAGAAAAATATACTTACTACAGTAGAAAGTAAGCAAGACATTCAGAGATATATTGTGGATGAGATGTACTATAGAAAAGAAAACATCAATAATTCTTACAGTAATGACAACTGTGATGCTTCACAGTGAGTAGTTCTTCCCTCAAATCGACTTCACTAGGAGTTTTTGTCGAATCACAGAAAAAGAATGACAACGTCGAAAAGTTGTAGTAAAACTAATCCGCTACTAACGCATTTAAGCCCTGATAGAATTAAGAAAATGGTTAAGGCAAAAATGGATTAAAATATTTATCCATACAAATAAAGTAATTTAGATTTTTATCTTTTAATTTCACTAAAAAAATCTTGGTAAATAGTTCAAATCGTGATGTCAAACGTATATATGTCAATTATCGATGAAATGAAGAGATAATTAGCAGTGTTTCTTCAGGACTCCTTAGTGGATGTACCTCAGACCAAGTACTTAGAAAAGTACTTGGGTAAGTAATATCCACACTACCTGGAGTTTTTTTGCACGTAAAAAAGGTACTTATCAAGTAATTTAACAAGTATAAGTAAGAGTAGATAAGTACTTCATCAAGTATCTGGCAGGTAACCTGGTAAGTACTTCCGAAATATATGCAGGTATCCGAAGTTGTTCCAAGCACTTGGCATATTCATTATACATTTTACAGTTTCTAATAGTATTTGTGATGGAATTATAGCATCAAACGTTAATTTCTTTAAATTAGGCCATATCAGATTATCCAAATAAACCAAATGTGCCAGAGATGAACAATTTCCGTCTAAACATAACTGGACAACATTTTTATATCGCTGCTGCTGTTGATGACAACCTTTATCGCCATCATTATCGATATCTTTTATTTGGACACATATTTCCGTAACATTCCAATAATTGTCGTGTACATCACGTTCATGTTCGCTAAGTAAAACAAAATAAAAATAATGATATCGAACTGACAATCAAGTCAGCTCTTCGCTACCAAGCAACAATTCAAAACGTGAGACTCTTCCTTTTTTTTCCCCGTGAATAATTGCAGATGGAGTAACTAAAAAACGTTCTTCTGTAGTATTTTTGTTTTCGCTTAATCTTGGCCTAGTACTGCGCACGTCGCTACATTAACGGCCTATCATGGTGCAAAAGTAACCTTATAAAATGTAGATTTTTCTGATCGAGAAAATAACTGCCGCTTGTACGCATTAAAACATTCCCAGTGTAAATGCCTAAAAACGGTCAAAATTGGCTTAATGATCTCAAAACAGTCATTTAATTGACGTCGGATGCATTACTGAAGGGTGTTTAATAGGCACTTAATTATATCGTTTTCGAAATTCTGAATAATTGTCGAAACAATAAAGGAAGTTCAGTGCCTAAACGCTTACATATATCCCGATTATAAAGAGACTGAATGTTGCTTACCTTAGTTCTATTGTCGAATTTATTTCAAAAGCTTTCTTGTCAATAGAAATTTTGTTTTGATAATATGGCAATGAAAAGAATCGAAAATACTCTTTTTTTTGTTTATAAATATATTCAAAATACCAATTATGATCACGATAATATTTATTTTGAAAAGATATTATATAATTCATGTCAAATGGATATGAATAATAATAAAGTTCAATGTGTAAGTGAAACTATTTCAATTGAATTAGTAATATTGATAATACCTGTTGCCAATAATAACCATCAAGGAATTCAGCATTTCCTGTACATTCAAATGTTAAATATTGAAGTTTTGATAGATACTTAAATAAAAATGAAATCAGACCAAATGTTTCATAGCTAGAAGTGATTATTAATTTTAAATGTGTGAGAGAAAATTGTACTAGTTGAGCGTGAAATATTGCTGCCATATAATTATCATCTTTACATAATACTTGGGTGGATAAATACTGAATATCTGGCATTTAGATAAACAAATGAAATGAATCCGAATACATACAAGTACGAAGTGCTAATTTTCTGAATAAAAAGAATAGCATTACTACTAATCTAGTATTAGCAGTGTTGGACGACTGCAAATACCCAGGTCATAGAATCCAGTCTAAGGATCCAGAAGGATTCCTGCCGGATCTTACGGCCGGATATGGCAAGATGTTCCAGGTCCTATGGATTCCAAGCTGGATTCTAGCAGGATTTGACAGAAATCCTTGTTTAGAAATCCTGACGGATTTGGCTGGGTTAGGATCCTGAGGTATGAAATCCCTGGATAACTCAGGATCCGATCTCAGAAAAGGACAGGATTTTGCTTTGTGTATCCTTCGAGTTTCAGACATCAGATTTCCCTGGATTTGGCAGAATGTGACCGGTTTTCAGGTGTTTTAATCCTTAAAATAGCTTTAAATTTTTTCTTTCATTGTCTAGTGGTTCTTCTCTCTGTCCATTCGAGAGAGTGGAAGAGCCCACTAGCTAGGACGTGTACAATACGTCTGTTGTACAGTGTGAGCGATAACTCACACCGTTAAGAATTTGACTTTCTCATTTTTCATTTTCTGTATGTCGTATTTAAAGTGCTTTTGTCGTGAAACAAAACGGTGGATATATTAAGCGCACAGAAAAGAAAGAAAAAAAATAAAGTGCACGTCACAGGATCCGTCAATTTCCGATGTTTGAAAATGGAACAAACGGATCCGATCTCCGGATCCTCCAGAAACCAAATATCGAAACACGAAGGAATTCAGCAAATTCCGATCTCCCGATCCGGTCGGACGTCCGATCTCCGGAAATCACTGGGATTTTGATATTAGGTCGATTAATTCAATGGGTGTGATATAATATAGTGATAATGTTGATAGATTAACAAACTGTTTAGTAATACCAAATAATTCACTGAACAAAGATATTTGAGAATTAGTACCCATTTATGGATCTGTTAATACACATATTGTGATAAAACATCAGATCTAAAACGCAAGTAAAGAAGATAAGAATTTTAATACTAGAGAATTTTTCAAACATCGTTAGAAGGATAAACCGAGAGAAATGGAGAGATGTGAGAAGGAGGTTATCACAAAAGACGTCTTCGATAAGCACATAACATATACACCGGGACATAAATTAGACAAATAAACAGAAATACAAAAAAAGTGTTGCACAAATGACTCAGGGAATTGTAACAGTAAATCCATCCCGTCAAAGGTAAGATCTGGAATCGAATTCCTTATGTTGCTATTAAACCATATAAAACATTTTTCAATGATAGATATGTGTGGAACTGTACGTTTAAAACGATAAATACACGGTATAACAAACGTAGCATTTAACCATTGTTCGCGATACATATTAAAAATGCTGGGTTCGGTGAGCAGAATACCATCTACGGATAGAGCTTAGATGGAGCTTTAACAAACTTATCCCAGTACTCGTAACATCGATTTTCCAGCGAACGTTCCTTACACTGATACAAAAACATAAAATCGTTCCAATGCATAAAACCAAAAATTCTTTTGAGACATGTATAATAGAAGTGAGAAGATCAGATCTTTGATGATCTGTAAAAAGAGGAAAGAGAGCGAACAACCATGTGGATAAAGGTAACACATATGTAAAAAAGAGTATTCTTCTAAAAAAAGGACTTGAGAAACCACTCATTCTGCAAAGCTTAACAATCGGAACTCTTTGACGAATGTTTGTTTTTGAAATGTTTATCATTTTTCCCCAACCTAGTTTACAAGAAATATAATATCCCAAATATTGATTGGGATATTGTTGATTTTAATACCAGCACAAAAAATCTCAAACTTGTTCGGAGCCATTGCTCGGGGACCTCGTAAAGCCTCTGTCTTTTTATAATTTATCGGTTGTACGGCAAGAGTCGAATAGAAGTTAAAGTAGTTAAAGAGCGTTTTCAGTCTATCCTTCAGGTCACGGCACTGCAGAGAATATTTAACACCAATCATACCACTCAACACACAAGCCAAATCATCTGCGAAAAATTTCGTAAAGAAATTTCCAGTCCACATGTCACCATGGTATGTAATGAACAATGTTGGTGTTTTCCAATAAGAAGGATCGATAAAAGATGATAACGAAAGGTTGAAAATATTCAGCAGACCTATCCAAAATGGTGCTGGAATGAACTACAACAAAAAAAGTGTAGTTTTAGAGTACTCCTTTGGAGAACATGCACTACGAGTACTCCGCAGTAATTCTTAAAAAAGGCTTATCGAGATTATACCTTTCTTTTTTTTCCAAAAAGAGTGCTCCATCATACTCCTCTTCATATTATTTTTTTACTGGGTCGAATATGCTCCTGCATAAGAGCGTCTTCAGAGAAATAGTTTTTTTAGTCAAAGCCATTTTATCATTTGCAACCAA